CAAGGGGTAACTCATACAACTCATCGCGAACATCCTCTTCGACGTCATCTGGGAGGGCCCAACATAGAAAAGATGAGTTCTATGAAACTCAGTAAGGCATATAGTATTAAATTGATATAACTAAGAAATTTTATAAAATTAAAAGTGTTTAAGAAAATACATTTTTTTACTTACAATTTTTCAACAATCCATTGATGTAAGAAGATGTTTCATATCAAGATCATCAAATAACATAAAGTAATTCATCAAGTGAGAAAATCAAACAAATTAAGTCTTTTACCATAATTCGCGCGAAGCTCGTTATGATTTTTTATCTAATAGCTAATAGAGACTCCCAACTACCACTATAGTGACACTAACGGCAACTTATGGTTTGCTCAACCACAATAGATTTGTGGCTCACCACATCATAACTGATTTGCGGCTCGCCATACCATAGCTGATTTGTAGCTCGCTACACCATAGCACGATCTATAATCACGACCGTGTCAACCACTGTGTTCCTAAAGAATATGACCACGATCGTACTTCGCCATAGTGGTCCTAAGATATCGTACGCGCTTTCGCACCATCATCCACAGGGAATGGTCATCTCATATCTTTTAGGACAGTGTAGGGACAATAGAAGTAGATAAAATAGTCTAACAGATTAATTCATATTTCATATATCCATTCATATCTTTCACGCTATGTCAACAATTTCATGTAATCTCTTCTTGTATCGATTGCATTTCAACTTCGTTCATGAACTAACAAACTAATTTTTACATGATGCATGTATAATTAAAACAATTATCATAATTAATAACTCATCACATCCTCAAAATCAAGCTACAATAATGCAATAAAATTAACATTCATTTTTTTAAAAATCACACCACAATCATGTAATAAAATCAACATTTATTTCATTATGTTTCTAAAAATACATCTTAAAATATGCAAAAAAATATTGAATTCCTTATCAATACTGACGACTCTTTGTAAGCTAATCCCCCAACGTCACTTCAAATTTTCTCCTTTCTCTCTTTAACTTTCTCTCTCTAAAATTTCGGTATATGAGGGTGAAAATGGTTGAGGAAGAGTGGTGGAGGAGGTCTCTATTTATAAAGGAAAAGAATCATTAGATTGGCGACAAGTATCGCAAATTTGTCAGGATAGAGAAAATGATGACATCATTAATGTCAATAAATTAAGAAGAGGCACAACTCCCAAGGCAATAGCGGCGGCAGCAGCGGCGAGGTGCTCGAGGCGGCAGTGTCGACGCGAGGTTGCAATGACATCGACGTAGGGCAACAGTGATGGTAGCGTAGGGCAGCGATGACGGCGGCATAGGGTGGCAGTGACGGCAGCGCGGGGCTCGAGATGCTGTACGAGGTCTAAGACTGTCATGCGCAGCAGGCTAGGCCTGGCGCGCGGGCAACTAGTCTGTGCGCCCGGGCAGCGCGTTGACTTGCACTGCAGGCTAAGCATGCACAGTCACGTCGCACAAGGACATAGAGCCGCGTACCCAATATGATAGGCCTGAGCACGGGATTCGTGCACATAAAGCGTGCACTAGGCCACGCGCACCTAACGAAAGCTACACACATGTGCGTGGGCACGCGGCGCACGGGCATGCGGGTTGGGCTTTTCCCGTGACAAAGTTTTCCAAATTTTCTTTTCTCCTCTCTTTTAATTTGAAATCTTCAAAAATTTGTAAAATAAGACAAAAATAAATAACACAATAATAATAAAATAAATTTCAATAAATTAACAAAAAACAACATAAATTTAAAATAAAATAAAACGAAAAAATATTATATCACAAAAATTTAATGACCAAAGACCCAAATAAAATGGAGTCTTAATACCACATGAAACACAAAGGTGTGGTGTGTCACATGGATACTGCAAAGTGAAAGTGAAAGTGTAAGTGTTATTCGTATGTGCAATAAAAGTGATACATTAATGAAATATAATATGTGAAGATATAAAAATTGATAGAATGACATTGTAAAAATAAGAGAAAGATAAGTTTTCTATCAATGTATTTTAGTTAAAAAAAAAAAAAAAGACATTAACATATATAAATATCTAATGAGCAAAAAGGGAATGTAATTAACTTTATATAAAATTTTTCGAAAATAAGTTATTATTGAATGATATGAATCAAACCAATATACTTCTTATTTCTAAATGCAAAAGCATACATGTGATCAAGCAATTCAAACATGGTAAAATAGTTTTTGAAATTTTTATTTCTAGACAGCTTGTTAAACATTCACGCTCATTAGCTCTTACTTCATAAGATAATCTTATAATTTTTTGTAAACTTGAAGAGGATTAAATAAAAATCGTACTAAATT